AGGAATGCCATTACAGCGGTCTAAAAGCAATCCTACAAAGACAATGTTATTAACTAATCCAACGAGATGATAAAACTAATCGTATACGACGATCGATCAACACAAGTGAATTGATCTCAATAGATTAGTGTGTTAATGTTAATCTATATATATATATTATATTCTCAGCTAGATTCTTATTACAATTATTCATTACAGATATAAAGCCAATGTTCTTAGCAGTACCCTGGGGGACAACGAAATTAATACCACCTCCGTTCCAAAAAAAAAAAAAAAAATAGTTCACGTTGAGTTTTCAAATTTATATTATAATTAGTACAAAACTCAAAACTTAATATAGACTATTTTTTTGGGGACAGAGAGAGTATTTTATAGGGTTTCTGATTTCTGAACCTAAAAAGTAAGTCCCATATATGTGATCAGTCCCGCTTACATTCAATTATGTTGGAAAACACATTCTCTATTTTAATTTTTATTTCTTTTTTAAAAAGGAAAGATGCCCAGACAGATACCTAATTATTCTTTAGCATCTGTTGACTAAATTCGCAGGAATTATGAAACTGTAGAAGATTAAGGAAAAAGGAGAAATCTTTTCCAAAAAAAAAAAGAATTACGCAAAATTGTTCACATATGTCAACTTCATGAGAAGCCTACTTTTAGGAGGTAACTTTCGCGTCAAGTGATGCAGAACTCTTTATTTGTTTGCATTACTGCTTCTTTTTGTTTCTCTTCTTCTTTACTGACGGCAGTACGTACTCCAATATATATATATTCAGTTACAATAATTAATTGAGGATGGACAGTTCGATTTCGATTTGCGCTCTATGTTGAAATCAGATTTGGACAAAAGCTGAGTCCGGCTTCATTCCAAGTTGATGGTAAATGAGGCATTTATATATACCTCTTTTATCTCTCTTTCCAACAAATAGTACTAAACCTTGATGAGCAAATAGATTTAAAACTTGGATTCGTAAAATGCATATATGTTTGCATCATGAATTCATGATCATCACAAAGTATATACAAAATCCAGTCTGCAAATTAATTAAACCCGTCATTCTCAGAATCATACATATGATGTATGTACATGTGTAACCATTTCCTAGCTCAATTAATCCATATATCTCGTATCTTCAGAACTGAATATGATTGTAATTCCGCACGTGATTAATGTAGGACATGTAACATCATCATTGAAAACTACTCCTAAGAAACAAAGAATAGATAACATGGGACATGATCGAGCCATCTGAGGATGAGATTGGAGTGAGTAAGGAAGTGGTCTCTTCTCTCATCTCTCCTGAGTTTTCCAATCACTTTTAGAACTGTTAGCCCCTTTTCTGATCAGTTATGGTTACTGATGATGTCCACTTTCATCCTATAGAAAAATATCCCTTTTTTAATTTTCCTCACTGCTTTTCATAGTTTCAACCCTTTAATTTTCTTCACCATTCAAAGTGCGCCAAAACAAGACTTTTTCTTTCAACACAAAAAAGAAAATAAATAAATAGATTCCGATGATATGCAAAAAAATTTTAAGCAATCAACAAAAATTACTCAACAATTTTTTTTTGAAAAATAAAATAAAAATAAAACAAGTTTATATATAACTAACAGTGCTAGCTGGCTAGTTAAATGTTGGAAAAAAATGTTACCGTTGACCTTACCATTAGGAAGCGAAACTACTAGTATATAAGCAACGTCTATTGTAAACTAAACCTATCGAATTCGTTTCCAAACATACATAATTGGGAATTTAGGATTAACAATGTGCACAATTATGGTGAATTTTAATGAGTAATAAGGATAGATATAAATTAAGCTTGTTTACTACAGCATGTTGTCTCAATCATGCCCTACTTGTAACGGTGACTCACATCCTAAGTAGAAAATCAGAAGTTTCCTTTTGTTTTCTTCTTTTTTCTCTATTCTTTATTTTTTTTGTTTTTTTAAAAAGAGGCATTTTCCATTTATGAAAAAGTATATATGTTTACTTTAAAAGAGGGGAAAAATTGGCTGATTTACCCAAAGGTTGACATGCGTTGTCAATTTTACCTTATTTTTTTCGGTGAGCCAATATTACCCTAAGCTATCCAACCGTTAGCCGATTTTGTCCAATTTGCCAATTTCCGTTTAAATTAACGGAATTCCGTTAGTTTTAATTACAAAAAATATTCTAATAGTTTTGAAAATTATAAAAATAACCCCAAAAATTTGTAAAAATAACCAAACAGTCTTTTTTCACTTTTTATTTAATTTTTTATGTTTTCTATTTCTTTTCACTATTTCTCATAACTATAAAAATATATTATATAATCTTTTAAAAAAAAGCTACTTATTTTTAAAACACTATTGTGCAAATTTATTAGATATGCGTATTCGTAACTCATGGTTGATTTACATAAACATATTAATTTTTTAATAACATGGTTTAACAGTAATGATATTTTTTTTAATATATTTTTTTCAATCTAAAAATCAAGATTATTTAACTGAACCTAATTTTGCACAAAACATAAAACATTTAGCATAGATTAAATTTTTTTTATTGGTATACTTTAATGTATTATTACAATATAATTCAACAGAATTTAGATTGTATTGTAAAATTAAAAAAATAATTAAACTAAAATATACATTTTCTTTAAAGGCCAAGTACAAACAGAAAGTAAAAAAGAAATGGTACAAAATATTTTATAAAAAATATGTATATTTAATCATTGTGAGAGTTTAACATTTCGTGATAATTTTTTTGAGATATTAACATCTAACTTTAGTAAGAAATTTTTTTTAATAATAATAAAAAAAATCTGCTCCAGTACTAGACTCAACTTTTTTTTTAAGAAAAAGATCGCCCCAGTGAGAATTGAGACCTCGACCACAGTAATAATCATCTCCCATCTTAAATCACCCGACCATCCAACTCAACCCTCTCACCTTTAGTAAACCATGCATACATGTGGATAAAATCACTCTCTCGGTAAAAAATCGTTGGTGAAAATTAATCTTATATCTATTATCATGAAGCTTAACACCCTAAACACTAGATTGTACACTATATTTTAGTTTAGTAATTTTTTGAATTGGATAATATGATCTATAGTTTGTTTATTCAGTTTGTAATAAATTAAAATGTACTAATATATTAATTTTTAATCTATGCTAAATGTTTTACTTTTTTGTAAAAAATTAGTTTTTAGTCAAAAAATATTATTCTTTAAATTGAAAAAAAGGATTAAAAAAACTAATATCATTATTGTCAAGTTATATTACTAAAAAATTAATATCTTTATACAAATCAACCATGAGTTACAAATATATATCTATAAATTTCCACAGTAGTGTTTAAAAATAAATAGTTTTTCTTAAAAGATCATATAATATATTTTTATAGTTATGAAAAATAATAAAAATAAATGAAAAATAGAAAAAATTAAATAAAAAGTGTAAAAAGATTGTTCGGTTATTTTTACAAATTTTCAGGGTCATTTTTATAATTTTCAAAATTAGGGTATTTTTTGTAATTAAAACTCACAGAATTCTGTTAATTTAAACGGAAATTGGCCAATTGGACAAAATCGGCTAACGGTTGGATAGCTTAGGGTAATATTGGTTAATCGAAAAAGAATAAGATAGAATTGACAACGCATGTCAACCTTTGTGTAGATCGGTCAATTTTTCCTTAAAAGAGGTAAACTTTCTTTCATCATGGATCTTTTTCATCACAGTTCAGTTAGCAATTCTAATTGGAAATTGAAAGTTGAAACCACCCAAAGTAGTAGTCACAATATATTTGCCATGTTCTATGTATAATGGTCTAGAATCATATATACCCACCCACTCAAACAATAATGATGGGATGGACTCATGTGTGTGCGCCATAGGTGATTGGGCTCAGTAGTTCATGGGCTACTAAATGTTCCTTTTCTATTTTTTTTTCTTCTTTTTTTTTGGATTGTTGATTGCTTATAATGTTTTAGATCCATATTGTCTCTGTTTTTGTGAAAATGAATCGAGTTGATTCCACTGTGTGTTCAGTTTAAGCTTATATAGTAGTCCTTTCCCCTCAACATAAAAAATAAAATAAAATAAAATAAAACGATAAAAAAATTATGTTAAACAACAAACAAAATTCTTTTGGGACATAATGAGCAGAAAGTTTGAGTTTCAATGTAGCTTTGCTATATGAAAACTCTCTATTTGTGAAACTAGTACTCTTCCAAAATCGATGGAGTGGTGAAGTCAACTCTTCAAATCTTTTTTCCTAAAAAAATGACAACAGAATTAACAACTAAGCATAATTTTTTTAAAAAATATATATATAAAAACTAAGCATAGTTAATAGTCATCTGCTTAGATTTTAGGTAATAGTTTAAATATCGACACAGAATATATATCCATGTACCTTTTTTTCTTTAAAAAAATAAAAATTGTCATCTGCTTAAAGTTTAATAATTAAAAAACAACCATGTGGTGTCAAGAACATGTTACTAAACCGATTTTTCAATGTCATAATTTTACATTTGCAATCACATATTTATGTCATTTCATCTTAAATAGTATGAAATTATCATAACCAGAACTCTGATATGATGGGGCACTGAAATCTGGGGTTGGATTGGGTCCCCAGAATGATGTCCCCGCCACATACAAACACAAAAAAGGTACTCAGCAATCACACATATATTCCTCTTTTCTTTTACTTTTCCTAATTAAACTTTTTTTGTGGATGAAAAATTTCAAAATCATATATCTATGGATGCTAGAAATGATTTTTGATCCCCACGCCTCACCGAAACCCACTTATTTAGATTGAATGTCTTAGGCAGATGGATGGATACTGCTTCAAAGATTTGATAATTCGAGTCTTTTCACGTCATTACTGCCACCACAGTTTAGTTAATTTGTTGAGGATCAATATTTTTTATGGTTGCTTATATTATACTTTATTATATTGAAAGTTTAGCCAAGCATCCAAACAAATGATCTTCTGTGACCATATGGAACTTGGGTAAAAGATTATATACTTATCTCTTGTATACTTTCAGAATCAGTACTTCCAAGTAAAATCTCTCAGATTAATGAGTAATGACCCTTTAAAGTATAGGAAATTGAATTTAGAATTAATATAGCACATTAGGCAGCTACATTTAGATTAATCTACCAGCTACTAATTCAGACTTTGCTTGCTTAAGCACATTACGCAACTGCATTTTCTGGCTCCCAATTCATAGGCTTTTGAACAGTTGATCATTTTCGGGATGAACCCTCCTTGTGGCCATTCAATACATCCTCTCATTTTCCGAGCAATCACGTGCGGATTTCTCCGGCCACCGGGCAAACACCAACTCCTTCTATTGAAACCATTTTCTTCAATTTTAATTGCATCATCATCTTGAAATACGTCATCAGGAGGAGTACTACTTGCATCCTTGGATCTCGACAAGACGGCCTCCATATCTGCGATTAGATTGTTCATTTGAGAATACTTGTCTTCAAGAATCAGTTTTGCATTGACTAATCTCATCTGGAGGAGTTCCTCGCGCCAGACCTCCGCCATTTGCATCATCTTTCTCTCTTCTTCCACTTCCTCTTGGATTCTCTCGCATTCCATCACCATAGCCCTTAAGTTCCCTTCGTGCCCCTTGGTTTCGTCGCGCAGCTCAAGACACACATTTTCCAGAAATTCCCTGATGCTCTTTTCTTTCTCCAACTCCAGCATAGTTTTCTTGTGGGATGAATCAGCATCAGCTAGATCCATGAGCAGCCTAGAATTAATATTAACCATGTTTCGACATTTTTGCCTCTCCTTTTCTAGGTCACCCTTCAATTCGCTAACTATTTGAAGCATTTTGATGCGTTCTCTTTTCATCCAAGATTCAGTTTCTTGATTAAGACCCTTGAGGAAATGCTTGAGCTTCTCCTTAAGGAAATGGCGCTCAGTTTCGAGCTGCTTCCCGCAATTTCGAGCTCTGACTAGCTCAAGTTGCAAGCCTGTGATCGTTGCCGCTGGATCATCATAAATATTGTTTGGATGAAGCCTATGATGCCTGTGAAATCGGCTAACTTCGTTGGGACTTTTACAATCAAAATGATCCCAATTTTTTGTAGCTCCCTCCATTCCAATTTTATTAGACACTGAATCAACCTGACCAAAATAAAATCATATAGGGTTACTATAATCTCTATACTAATATTAACAATTAAAATGTACCATTTCAATTTTGAGCGTTGTAGTCAGCTTCCGCACTCTAGATAAGGAGGAACCAAGATGCAATTGGTCTCTTAAATTACAGGAATGGTTTATTTCTACAAACATTTAATTAATCTCTTCTCTAATAGTAGTAGTAATAAGAAGGGAACAACGTGGAAATATTCTCAATTTCTCATGATCAAGATTAAAGGAATTTTTTTTTAAAAAAAAAATGAATAACGAATTTATTCCAAATTTTGACCCCCAAAAAAAAAGGAAAGAAGTGAAAAAGGTTTTTTTTTTCTTGGGTTACGAAATGGCTAAACTTTATGAGAAAAGAATACTACTACAATAAATAAAATTTTTTAACTAAAAAAATTTAAATTGTTGAGGATATAGTGAATGTGTAAAATGTAACGTACCCCAAGTTGTAACCGACCAGAAGACCGCGGATGCTGACTCGGATGCCACGTCACACCGCCGGGCCCAGCAGCTAAATGCCGCCACCACACCCCAGCTGCCAGCTTCCTTGCTGACCTCCTCTCATCCACCACCGTAGCACTGCGTCTCATCCGCCGGATCTTTCCATCTCCTCCTCTTCCAGCCACCGGAGCATACCGTTCGGCAACGGGACTCGCCGCCGTGTCGCCCCGACCCCACTTCAACCGCCGTCCACCTCCACTCCTCCTCCTCCTGCAGGAGCTTCCCCGATTAAACTCCGATAAAGCCTCGTGCCATCGATCTAATATTTCCATTCATCTAAGCAAGAAAGAGAATACCGCAGAAAAAGGAAGATCCCGGTGCTATATTTTCCTCACTAATCAATTACGAACATTTTGCAGCAGTGATCACTGTCAGTGCGTAAGTGTGTGTTTTTGTAATTGATTTGTGCAGTTATATAGACAAGAGGAGCAAAGTAAGCAAATTAAATGGGGGTAGCACAGAAATTCATGGCGGTTGTTAGTACGTCATCATTATCTGATTGTTGGAACTTTATAAATTCCTTGTTTTCCGATTGATCATCATCACTTTGCACTTTTCCATTCTCGTTTTTCTGGTCACACTATCTCATGGTTACCTCTCCTCTGTTTGTTTCAATTTTTTCAGTGGTTTTTTCAAAATAACATAATAATAACTAGATGCTTGGCCAGGCAGATGTCCGGGCACCCCCTCTACTTTAATTTTGTGTTAATAGATAAATGAATTTTTGATTTGGAAAAAATAAAATAGGTACACATTTATTTTTTCCCTTTTTTAGCTAAAAATAAAAATAAAAATAAAAAATCATCTGCAAAAAGAGAAAAAAATATTAAAAAGTACACCGATGCAGAAATCATACAAAAGAATGTGGAGTAATAAAAGGGATAAGTTTATGGACAAATTTAAATCCTATCTTAATTTGATTGATAAATGATAAGTGTTAGTAGTTAAAATTGTGTAGCTATTTTTGTAAATTAGCTTTTGTTTTTCCGGATAAGAAGTTTTCTTTTTCTTTTAAAAAGGGATGACACGTGGCAGAATGGTTAAAGCAATATGGTGCATTTGGAGCTAAAATTTTTTAATAAGAAGTTGCCACATCAACATCCTGTATTCTGCTTTAATAGGGTAAAAGGGATTATCTCATGATCCTATTCTATATACTTTTTTACAATTATAATACACTTTTTAAAATTTTTAATACAAAAATAATACCTAAATACACATAATAAAAAACAATCTAAACATATAAACAGATTAAGTCCTTATAATTAGAACCAAAAAGTAAAAATTTGATGAATTAATTTTACACACAAAAAACCCCAACATACATTATCAGGTTGAGTAAACTATATGCCTAGAGTGTAGATCAGGTTGAGTATTAAATTGGTAAATGGAAATCTAAATTTATGATATCGTATCGTGTATCGAAAATCTAAATTTATAATATGCGTATTGTATTGTGTATCGTATTGTAAAATATATTTTAATCTGATAATATATATGAAATAAATAACAAATATGAATAATGGTCGAAACTAAGATTAATCGAAAGTTATATAAAGTGCTCGTTCATTATATGAATAATGGTCGTAAAAACTAATGTAAAAATATTATTTTCCATAATAGCTTCTATTATAAACATATACTTGATTTAGAAAATGACGCTATGAATGAAATAATAATTTAATCATTTTATTTTTTAAATTAAAATAATCTATTAAGCGATTTTTATCTTCAATTGAGAAATGTTATATTTGTGAAGAAATAAATTAAAAGTATCTATTAAAACGAATTTGTAAATAATATTCGTCTTAATTTGAAATTTAAATGGTTATTATGAAACAATAATTTGAATGTTATTAGAAAAAACTCATGTTTTACCTTTATTTTTGTATCGTACAATACACAAATGTATCGTGTATCGTATGTATCGTACGATACGTTTCGCCGATTGATCGATACATAACAATTACGATACATATCATGATACGTATCGAAATCTTTGATTTTGATATGTACCGTACCATACGTATCGCGTATCATGCGATACTAACTACTATGTTACGTAGCTTGACCAATTTATTTGATGTAAACTCATAAATGCCACACCAAGCTTCTTACGCTTTTTGTGTTTTACTCGTGCCAGTCCTTATTATAAGATATTTTGATTTGTCCTAATTTACATTTAATTTTTTTTAATTGTTAATTTTTTTTCATAATTAGAGAGCACAATAAATATGAAAATATAAGTTTAAGATTTATTTTTTGTGAATTGCTAATCGCAAATTGATTTTGCTTCGCGCACCTTGTGAAATAAACTAAAACACCCCTGAATACTAAACACTTTCAAATTCTTTTATAAGACCATCTCTTTTTACAACTTCACATATATTATTTTAATATATAATAAAAAATTCACCGATTGTTAATGGATTTAATATTGGAGAACCGTAGAACACGCGAAAGAGGAGAAAATAAAGTAATGTTTGTGCGAAATTTTTGACTTTTTTTAGTGTGATTGTTACTTTTCGTTTTTTGTGTGATCAGGTGGCTGCATTCTGGCAATTTTTTTTTTGTTTTTATTTATTTTTTTACGAACATGTTTTAGGCTAAATTTTCTGATTTTGGAGTGATCACCAGTCATTTTCTCTTTTCACGAAATGGGTGATCGTTTTTTCCTTTTGGTACGATTTTTTTTTTTTTTTGTATGATCGGTAGCTTTGTTATTATGGAGAATAGAAGGTTCAAATTGCCCCTCCTGTAAATATCCAATACAAGGATTCAACAGATGTTTGTCTAAAAAATCTTCATGGATTATTGTTTGACTACATTTATGATTTAGTTTTGTTGTTCGGTTTAGAGCAAGGAGACAATAAACTTGGAATTTTGAACACTGAAGTATTAGAAAATGGGTATTGCTGAATGTGTCTTCATTTTACTTCGCACAACTTTATGGGGGTGTTTTAGTCTATTTTACAACCTGCACGAAAAATCAATGTGCGTTTAGTAACACTTTTTTTTTTTTCAATGGAAAAATACAGTGCAGGGAGGGAAAAATTGGCCGATTTACCCAAAGGTTGACATGCGTTGTCAATTCTACCCTATTCTTTTTCGATTAGCCAATATTACTCTAAGCTATCTAACCGTTAGCCGATTTTGTCCAATTGGCCAATTTCCGTTTAAATTAACGGAATTCTGTTAGTTTTAATTACAAAAAATATCCTAATAGTTTTGAAAATCATAAAAACGACCCTAAAAATTTGTAAAAATAACCGAACAGTCTTTTTACACTTTTTATTTAATTTTTTCTGTTTTCTATTTATTTTCATTATTTCTCATAACTATAAAAATATATTATATGATCTTTCTATAAATTTGCACAATAGTATTTTAAAAATAAATAGCTTTTTTTTTAAAGATTATATAATATATTTTTATAGTTATGAGAAATAGTGAAAAGAAATAGAAAACAAAAAAAATTAAATACAAAGTGAAAAAAGACTGTTTGGTTATTTTTACAAATTTTTGAGGTGATTTTTATAATTTTCAAAACTATTAAGGTATTTTTTGTAATTAAAACTAACGGAATTCCGTTAATTTAAACGAAAATTGGCAAATTGGACAAAATCGGCTAACGGTTAGATAGTTTAGGGTAATATTGGCTAACCGAAAAAGATTAGGATAAAATTGACAATGCATGTGAATCTTTGAGTAGATCGGCTAATTTTTTCGTGCAGGGAGTATTAAGTTGTATGGTAACATGAAAAATGGCGAAAAGAATATTGTAAAACAATTTTCATTTGGGCTGACAAAGCCAAGAAATACAATAGGTTGTACGTATATAGCAAAAGAAATGGTTATTCTTGATCGGTAAAAAGAAAAGAACATTCTGATTTAGTGATAATTAGTCGGCTACTCGATCGATCGACCATTTCTACTAGTTGAAAGGGAGTAATCATGCATGTTGTTAATCCCGCCACATGGCTGAATTATTAGACTAATTGATGCCCAAAAAGTTTACGTGTCATTCAATTGCTTAGTTGCTGAGGTTTACTAAACAATGAACGTAATACTTCTTTTCTCGTATTCCATTAGGATCAAGGCAATCTCTCTAGAGACCAAAATGTGGGCAAAAGAATATTTTGAAAATTATGGTTAATGCTGATTCACGTGATGATTATTTTTTGAATAATGGATTAGAAAAGGGTAATGATGATTGACGAGGTTGCAAGTTACCATTATCCACACACCATCCATTTTGATGAAATATTTTAACCACGTCATGACTCCCTTGTCAATTTTCTCAATTCTTGATTGATTTTCTTTGTTTAAGTTTTTACGATGGAAATTTAGTTAATTAATACCTTGTCATACTTTGGGTTTATTCTCAATATAATACTCTCTCCGATCCTTATTATAAGTCATTTTGAATTATCCTAAGTTTGACCAAATATGTTTTTCGACTGAGAAAAAAATCTTAAAATTATATTTTCATATTTATCGTGTTCCCTTAATTATTAAAATATTTTTAAGTTTTCATTTTTTAATTAAAAAATATAATAAATAAAAATTAAGACAAATCAAAATAACTTGTAATAAGGATTGGAGGGAGTATCAATGGACAACGGTAGCTATACTAATTTTGTAAAGGTGCATGACGAATTAACAGTGAGACAACCAAAGTAGTAGTTGTTAGTACGATAGTAGCGGAGTAGGTGATGACGAATTTCAAGATACCATTGACAACTTCATGTTCACATTTCTGTTCATCATTTTTGGATCTTATAATCAGTAACCATTTGATTCCTTCGTTCGTCCCTTTTCACACGATTAATTATTTGTTTATTCCATCCATCCATCTTTTCTTGCCTTGTAACAGTATATGCTGCTTAATTGTGGCGTGCCTCCAATTAAAGGTAGCTAAAATTGCTAGCTAGCTGGAGAACGTAATCAATTTACAATAAACTGGTTAGCAGTTCATTCTTCATATCCAACCAGCTGCAGATCTTATGAAGCAAGAACAGTGACTAATTAATATGAAAAGGATCGATTTTTTTTTGGTTCTTTTTTCCATTTGGTATAGCGGAACCGGTATGTTACTGACTTATCTCCCCTTTTGAAAGAGTAAATCTCATAATACAAAACGTTGGATGTATGGAAAAAAAAAAATGAAGGAAGAAGGTTACTGTAATGGTAACACACAATCAAAGTAATAAATTAGGTATTGCTCCCTCCATCTCATAATTATTGTTTAGTTTAAAGTTTCAGTTTTAATATAAATTAAACTAAAAATGAAGTTTCAAATTGGATAATAATTTTGGGACTATTGTTTAGTTTAGAGTTTCAGTTTTAATACAAATTAAACTAAAAATGAAGTTCCAAATTAGATAATAATTTTGGGACGGGATAATTACTTCTTAGTTGGAGTAGCTAGCTAGCGGGGGAAAATCCTCAAAATTAGAAAAGCGAATATTATAGAGGTAAAGTGACGTGAAATTAATAAAAATGAATTCTTTGACAAATTCCAACATCTGTATAACATGATGTGGATCCATCATACTTCTTCAACTAAAGGACATGTTCATCAAGTTTGAAATGTACACTATATGGCTATAGCTAGGCAGCTTCAAGCCATCAATATAATCAAACAAGCCATCTATCTTTACCTGAACTCTCCGACTCACTACTTTCTTTTGTTCCTATCTATATGTACATATGTACACATAAACCTCATTTATTTGCCCCCAGAAAAACAATTATAAAAATAATTATATTAAGAAAATTATGGTTTTAATTTTTAAAGTTTCCAACTAGGAAAGCAATTGGTCAACTAACCATGCAAAGATTCCTTTCTATTACATCCTTTCCCACCACCTTCCTCTACCAAACCAACCATTTTCTTTTCCTTCCTCCTCCAAATCTATATATATAAACCCACTCATTGAGGCTCTAAATTCCTCTCCTTCTCCCATCTCTTCAATCTATTTTTATTTTCAGTACTACTCGTTTAGCCCCAAAAAAAAAAAAAAAAAAACACACGCGCACACACACACACACAAATCTATCTACATGGGCAACTGTCTTAGGATTAAAAGGGATACTAAATCCTCTTCATCATCATCCATTGTATGGGCAAATGATGATATCGATGATTATGATGATGATGATGATTGGGTGTCTCCCATGAAATTGGCAACCCAAAGCAAAGACATCTCACAAAAACAAGGGTTATTGCTTGACGGAGGTTTTTCGGCACCATCATCAACAACTTCAACAATGAAGAATTCATATTCTACTGCAAATCACAAGGAAATAAAGATCAAAATCACTAAGAAACAGCTGGAGAAACTGCTGGGAGAAGTTGACGTGCATGAGTTGCCGGTGGACCAAGTCTTGTCTAGGCTGATTAATATTAATAATGCAGCTGCTAGTGATCAATATCATAATGATCATGATCATCAGCAATATCAACGGTCCTGGAGGCCTCATCTTCAGAGCATTCCTGAGGTTGATTAAAAAACTGCTCCATCATACATGTACATGTTAGGTAGAATATACGTTTTGAATTTTTTTAGGGTTTTTTTTTTTGCTGTTTTTCTTATTGTCGACAATTTTTTTTTTCTTTAGCCAAATGGACGTTTGCCATTTGTCATTGTCGCCATGATGTATCAATGATTATATAGTTATTGTTTCATTAGTTTAATTGATGTACATATATGATATATATTCACGCGTTCGCCTTCCTTTTGTTTTGATTGATATGCAATTAGGGTGATTGATTCATACTTCTCAATTCGATACTTATATTCGGTAAATAACGATTTCCACCCCCCACGAGTTAAGTGATTTTATTATTTGTTTTATTCAAACAGCTGTGATTCAGATTACGAATGTGAGAACATCAATAAAATGGAACAGATTAATTGTCCATCTTGTAGCGGGTAAATGCAAACGAGATTAACTTAATTTTATGACATGTTACTTAAGGAAATAATTTTCATGTTGAAGGAATAGCAAAATTTCGCAGTTGATGTCACTTGGAGAATTACAGTGGATTCGTTAGTATAAGATACCAAAAAATAAAAATGACAAACGCAAAAAACCGCATTTTTCTAATGTAGAAAATATTATGAAATTATATGTTGATTTGATTAATGTCCCATTAATGTGTATTATTCTATTCACAATTAGAGAGATACGATTATGTAATATTTAACATTAATGATAGAGTTATTTAGTTCACATAGTTTGGTCACCAACCTCTTGTATAAATAGAGAGCCCATTCATGCTTCAGAATCACATCTGAATGCAAGTCTCTTATCTCTCTCTGCTCTCTTGTCTCTTCTCTTTCGTTCTTATGCGTAGTTCATATTAGTAGTTTATTATTAATTTTATAATAGGAAAATAAATCTCAAATTAATTCAACTTTACAATTAAGAAAATGAAATAAAGGGTTTAATTAGGTCATTATGAAGTGAAGGGCGTATGGCCACATTTTTGGTTCTTTCTAAAACTCATCCGGTTGTGCTTGTCTTTTTGTAGTTATCTATCTATCTATATACTATATTAAGGCAAAAACCAGAGAGAGAAATCTAAAGTCAAGGAGCACATGCCATATAGGATTTGATCATATGTGGCATTTTCTTAATTTTCTAGATATAAAAATGCACAAAATAAAATAATAAAAACCAAAAAAAAAAAAAAAAACCGTAACTGAAAAAATTCAAACTCTATATTGATTCAACCAAATCCCTACAAATCCGATGGACGGATCTCTTCCTCCTAAAAAAAACGCAACTGAAAAAGAATTTTATATTAATAATTTATTAAAATAATTAAAGAAGTTAGGCCAACCTGAAACTTCTATAATTTAGCTTCAAATATGGAATTGAGTTAAAATACTATGGTGATGGGTTGATGTAGCAGGACTAAGAATGGCTTTGGCAAAGAATAAAAATATTAAAAAGCTTCAATTATGGCTATTCTTTGTTCTTCTTTTAAATGTTTTGAAATCCAAATTTTTAGAAAAAGGTCATGATATCTAACGTTTTTTATTTATTTTTCTTATTAAAAAATTGGATGGCCTCTACAACAGGTTAGGGTTGTTGTTTCTGTAGTAACCATTCCTTATCATAAACCTTTTCAAAAAAAAAAAAAAAATTCCTTATCATAATCTTTTAACCACCCTAACCAACCTTTACATCCCAGACTACCAATGTAGTCTAGCAAGAAATATTGCAAAATATATAATTATTTAATTCAAAGTTCTTTTTTTTTAATTTCTTAACAATCTTTTTTGCGTTAAATAAATTACCAGTGTATTCGTTTGGTAGTGTTGTCGATGTTTGTGTTTTATATTTTTCAACGAATTCATTATATATTTTATAAAAATATAAAAATCTATACAAATATTAACATTTTTTTGATTTGTTTGTGTAGTAATATTTATGTATATGTGTTCCCCGTCCATCGGATGGGTCTAACACCTAGTATAGTGTTATAATATGCCTTATAAATTCCCTGGACAGATAAAATAAAAAATATTCAGTTTCTACGGTTTACTTAGTGCATAGCAACAAATATAATTGTTTCACTAAATTGGACTATTAATTTGAATTGAACCAAAAATGTTCCATTGCCGGAAAAACAAGAAACAAAAGTTCTTTATTATTTTTGTTTATAGTTGGTTTTTTTTTTATTCATGTTGCATAGTGTCTGCCGTCGATAATAGTGACTAATCCCCTCATCCATGATAGGTACAAAGGATTCAATGTTGTCCCATGCTTATGACAAAGTTCGATCCCTTGACCATTGATTAAGGGTGAAGGAGTCCTTACATATTATCGGGCCTACGTCTGATAATGAATATTGGACCTCTACCTAGAAACGTCGGCCCGCAATGGCAAATCTTAGATTTAAGTTAAAAATTTTACCACTTTTAAGAAAATCCATATTATAAACTCAATAATTACATTACGTTTTTTTAAGAAATAAACACTAAATTTCATCATTTACCCGGAATCTTCCAGTCATGATTGATTGTCGAAAAAAAAATTAACCACAATTATAACATGTCATTTTGTTGTGTTTACAGTAAAAAAAAAATATTCAATATACTCGTAAAAACCATGAATATATTGCGCATAGGAGAAAATAAACTGAGTAAGCAGGCAGTTGTACAAAACGGTTCAATTGGAATTTTATTTATAGATTGATAATTCTAATTTTGGGTCTAAAATTGAGTCGAAATCAAAACGCATTTCATTTGTGGGATGATACGCATCTCTCAAAATTCATGTTATTTTCATATCTCGCTGTAATGTAAAATGCTAGGTAAGTTTGTTTGTTTGGTAAAGTCAAAGAATGGACAATTCTTTTTGGGACACACCATCTATAGACTATGATCACCTCTAAAGAAGCTCCATTTCTTTTTTTTTTTTTGGTTAAGGAACTTAGCCTAAGGGCTAAGGTAACAAAATTATACACTCCGGAAGTTCATCTTAGCATCAGCTTCTAACAGCAAGCTAATCGAACTTGGAGAAACATCAAAAAAATATAGTCCCCTAGTACAATCTATGGCCTCTTTCGCTAAGGCATCAGCAGACATGTTATTTTCCCTACATGTGTGTTTAAAAAGTACTACCCAATTGGCTTGCAAAAGATTATATACACATCTTAACTCCGGGTCCAAAGGAACCTTTGATCCTTTAGCCGGTTTACAAGGTCGATAACCATCTGGGAATCGGACTCTACAACCAGGTTTTTAACTCCTTTTTCTGCAGCAACCTCCATCGCAATGATGATTGCCCTTAATTCAGCGGTATCGATAGAACACACCCCCAAATTTGAGTTAAAAGCTGCCATAAATCTGCCTTTGTCATCCCTAAGAATACCTCCAGCTGCTGCCTTTCCTCTGGCTAAGGAAACCGCCCCATCACAATTTGCCTTCACCCATCCATGATTGGGAGTTTTCCAGCCCTATGTTCCCGATCCCTGGACTCCTCTTGCTTGACCGATGGCCACCCTGCTACACTTGGTGATTTCCATGGACTTATGTACTGCCTCTCTAACAGCCGGAACAACGCTTATAGTCTCCCATTGAATACTCTCTCGTTCCTCCACCTCCATATTAGCCAGCAAGTAGACACAAAATTAGTCTTCCACTTTAGGTCGTTTGCATCTAAATTCGACTTCAGCCATTGTTTTAACTCCTGCTGGAAAAAGGTATGCCTTCGATCCCTGGGTACCAGTTGCGTCCATAGTTCTCTCGCCACAGGGCAATCTCGTAGAGCATGGAGTGTTGATTCAGCCTCCCTGCTACACCCCGAACACGTCTCCGTTGGAATGACTCCTCTTCTCTTGCATAGCACATTCGTTGGAAGCCTGTCATGCCATGCTAGCCACAAAAAGGATCGCATTCTCTGTGGACCTTCCCAGCTCCAAATCTTCCTCCAGTCTCTATTTGCCTGCAAAATAGAATCATCAAGTGCTAATTCATATGCTGATTTAACTGAGAACTTACCAGCTTTGTTAAATAACCATGAGGGTCTGTCTTTCCCTAGGGCCTCCATCGGTGGAGGTATCCTACAGATTCGGCCAACCAAGTCACAAGGGAGGATCGAGTTCATCTTCGCAACATCCCAGCTTCTGTTTGGTAAAGTGAACTCCACCACTGGTGCCATCCTCCACTCAGTTGGTATATTTCTCTCAGCATGATCGGCTAACCTACCTGCTCCTTCAACCCAAACGTCCTCCCAAAACCTAACGGTTCTTCCATTTCCTACAACCCAAATCAGCCTCTTTTGCACCAAATGAAAAGCATCAAAGACTCCCTTCCATGTATGGGAGGCATTTCTGTTCCTTGTCAAGCACACAGAGTTGCCCCGTCTTCTACAATATTTTGCCCTCAACACTTGCACCCATAGGTCGTCCTCCTTGCTGACCAATTCCCACCCAATTTTCATCAAAAAAGCCACATTGTTCTCTCGTGTTTTCCTCAGACCAAGTCCTCCTTTCTCCTTAGAACTACATATCGTATCCCAATTGATAAGATGCCGCTTCTTCTTGTTTGCAGTTGAACCCCACACAAACTCTCTCACAAGCTTATCCACCTCGTCGCACACAGCTATAGGTAACCTTGTCGATTGCATTTGGAACATTGGTATAGACTGAAGACAAGATTGAGCTAAAGTAATCCTGCCTGCAAAAGATAAATGGTTAGCCTTCCAACTAGATAATCTTGCCCTAGCTTTATCTAACAGATCATTATAAGTACCTTTCGTGACTCTTCCATGAATCAGAGGTGACCCGAGATATCTTCCCAGGTTGTTCGTCACCCCAAAACCAAACCCCTCGCTGATTCTCTTCTTCAGCTGAGCGGGAGTATTCCCTGAGAAGAACAATTTTGTCTTCTGATTATTGACTCTCTCCCCTGACACCCTGCAAAACACATCTAACACATTAGCGATTACCTCCACTTGTTCAAGTGAGGCTTCAGAAAATAAAAACAAATCATCCGCAAAAAATAAGTGAGAAATAAGAGGACCCTGTACCATTCTAATTCCTTTCCATTCATTCCTATTGACTGAAGCTACAATATTATGAACTAATATTTCTAAACAGAGAACAAAAAGGTAAGGAGAAAGGGAGTCTCCCTGTCTAATTCCTCTGCTTGGGCTGAACTTTTCTAAGGTCCCTCCATTCCATACCACTCTCATGGATGACGTGGATAGGAAACATTTGACCAGCTGTGTACACCTAAGCGGAAGTCCTGCAACCAATAGTGTTTTTTCGATAAAGTCCCCATCTAAGCAGTCATACGCTTTCTCCAAATCTATCTTAATGGCCATCCAACACTTTTCCCCCTTCTTTCTCCTCATCGAATGTATCATTTCTTGAACGATAAAAGTATTGTCCGCCAGTTTACGTCCCGGAACGAAACTTGTTTGGGTTAAACTGATCAGCTTTCCCATGAGTGGCTTCAATCTGTTCGCTAGGATCTTGGTTATGATCTTATAGATCACATTGCATAAACTGATAGGGCGTAACTGCGAGAAATGACTAATCTGATTCATCTTGGGTATAAGAACCAGAAGCGTCTCATTGATTCCTGCCGGTATTCTCCCTTCATCGAAACACTTCGTGACAAACTCTGTAACTGCTTGACCTACGGTATTCCATTGCGACTGGAAGAAAATCGGGCTCCATCCGTTTGGCCCGGGAGCTTTATAGGGCCCCATGTCAAAAACCGCTTTCTTCACTTCTGCCCCTCCTACAGGTTTGGATAGGCCATCAATTTCCCCTTGAGTCAAAGCTGGAAAATTCGAAAACCACTCCTGCAACCTTCTTTGGTCTGGCTCCCTGGTGAACAACCTCTTATAGAACTCTACTGCCATCCTCTTCATTGTGTTTTGATCCTCTACCCAATCCCCTTCATCATTATGCAACCTCAGTATTCTGTTATGCTTCCTTTTAGTCAATGTGCTTAGGTGGAAAAATCTGGTATTCTTGTCCCCAAACTGTAGCCACCTGTTCCTAGATTTCTGATACCATAAAATCTCTTCCTGTAGTAAGGTGTCCTCCAACTTCGACTGTACTTTCTCCCTTTGTGCGAGCAACCGCTGTGAAGGCTTCGAGTCGATTATGTTGTCCAGCAATTCAAGCTTCCTATATAGTTTCCTCTTCCTTGCAAAAATATTCCCAAAGACCTTCTTATTCCAGTTGATGACCTTCTCCCTAAAGTCCACTTCTGCTTCACTATATCCCGTATCCTTTAGCCAAGCTGCTTGAACAAAAGCTTGGAAATCTACGTGGGTTAACCAGCAAGCTTGGAATCTGAAAGGTCGCTCATCTCTTTCCGAGGCGAGCTTCTGTTCCAGACTGAGCAAGATCGGCTGGTGGTCAGATTTAATTCTACACAAATGCTTGACCGAGCTTTCAGGGTATTTTATTCTCCATTCCATGTTGCATAAGGCTCGGTCTAATCTCTCCTGGAGATTACTATTTTTTCCTTTTCTCCATTTATACTTCGGTCCAAAAAATCCCATATCCTCCAACCCGCTCTCATGTAGAAATTCGTTAACCTCCCGACACTTTGCACTATTCACTTGGGCCCCCCCAGTTTTCTCATTCGCGTTCAAATAAACATTAAGATCCCCAATTACCACCCAAGGCTCTGAGCATTGATTTCTCAATGCCACCAGGTCTTGCCACAAGATTCTCCTCACTTGTGCTGCCGGAGAAGCATAAACCGCGGTACATAGCCCCTTGTCATTACCTGTCTCCCAGTGAAAGTAAACCCACTGCCTTGAAGAACCAAGAAATCTCACTGATACATCACCTTCATTCCAGAGAACCTATATATTCCACCCGAGAACCCAATAGCTTCTTCAATATACCATCAGAAAAACCTAGACTCCTAACCACTTTGCTAGCGTCCCCACCACTGATCCGTGGTTCCAATGCTATCAAAATGTCCGGGTTAAAGGTTCCAATTAGGTGTTTTACAGCAGGCTTAAACTTCTTAGAGCCTGCTCCTTGAACGTTCCACGATATAATATTCATAATAATGAGTAGATTAAACAGAACACTAAATGATCAATATAAAGATGAATACCCACCCCGGGTTGACCCGTTTCCACATTGGTAACACCTGTCTCCTCCCGAGTCAGGTCAGGCGGCTTAGCAGACTGCTGTTGTGTGTCCCCCTACCATGGAGTCCCTTGGTGGCGCCTCGACTTTGTCACCCCGTTGCAGATCTGGTGGCTCCTTAGATCCCAGAGCGTGGACCTGGTTGGGAGGCTGGCTATAGTCCCCCACCATGGCCGAAACATTCTGTCGTGAAGATTGACTCTTCAAACTTGGTGTAAGTCTGCTCCTTTTCTTACCACCTTCCATCGGGATGGAGTACTCAGAATCCCACCCAAGATTGGATAAGAGAATTGTCCTTGGTTATTTCTCTCTTTCTCGATTGATTGATTCTTGTTATTTGTTCTAGCTGCTTTCCCCTTTTGTTTCAATCCGATGTTAATCCGATTCTCCGTTTCACTCTCTAAGTAACCCGAGATATACACTCCTTTTTCCTTCTTGGGCGCGTTCGACCTTGTAACCTTGTTGGGCTCATTGTTTGAAGCCTTTGGATTCTGGGCTCTGATATCCAGCTAAGAGACTAAATGGGTCAATCCAACGAAGTGAGTTTTGACGCCTTTCAAAGCTGCGTTATTTATACTTTTATCTGCTCCCTTGTGGGCCCTTGGTATCTTCTTGTTTGGCTTTGTTTGGGCCTCCACTTGCTTTGGGCTAGCGAAAGAGAAACCCTTGCTTGTCTCTTGATTTCTGACCGTTGGGTCTTTCGCTGAACAGACATCAGGTTTCGTTGCAAGGACGTTGAATCTCGAGCCCCCTTGGTCCCGCTGCTTAGGCAATGGTGATGGCCGTTCCGGTGCTGGTTTCGGTTGCCGGATAAATCTTCCCCGCCTCTTCTGTGCTACCATCCAAGGCCCTAACCCCACCTGACTATCCCCTTTGAACTCGTTCGACTGACCGCCACTCTCAATTGAATTCTCCTCTGTTCCATCCTTCATCCCCGACCTCTGTTTAGCAGGACCCATCTCCGGCTTCTCAACAGTGGGTTGTACCCTTAGCTCCTCCTTGCAGATGGAACTATTATGGCCAACAAACCCGCAATTATAACATATTGTTGGTAGTCCCTCATACTCCACAACTTGCCATCTATCCTCGATTTGGAAGCTGGGAATTAGGGGGTCCTCCAGGTTCAATTCAACCGCCACTCTTGCAAATTTTCCCCTGTCGGCATTCAGCGTTTTTTCATCAATCTTTAATGTTCGTCCAATAAAGTTACCGATAGAGAACATGGCGATTTCATGGTAGTATTCTACCGGAAGATCTGGTAGCCTAATCCATGTCACCACAGTTGAGATCTTCGCCGTTGATCCTCTGAAACCGGGCATCCATCTCTGAACCGATAAGCAGTACGGCCCAACAAACCAGGGACCCCCCCCTAAGAGCTTTTTCTTCCTCTTCGGCATCTGGCAGCAACACCCCAAAAAACCCATTAGAGAAGTCTATTATCTCATAGTCCCCGTTTGGGCACCACATCATCTTAACTGCATTGCTCAGTCCCCTGTATGTCAGAGTTTCTCCTGACAAGCGAGACAACCACCATATGTTCCCAATCCTCCCTGAATAACTCCTTAAGCTTCTCGGAGAACTTGAGCTTCCCACCCATCGGACTCCTTTCCATTATCACGTCTCCTGGCTCAAGTGTAACCTTTGTAGAAGCCCTCCTTTTCCTAATTCCCAGTAACCTTTCTTTGAACGACAAAGGGATTTGGGACTCCCCTCCACCTTCAACAGTATCCATTATGGTATCCTGCTTATCAGGTGGACCTCTACTCGGGTCACTATCCATGCCGTACTTTGAATCTGTTACAAAGGGAACTCATTTAGAGAGCAGTTTTTAGAGAGAGAGGTTTTTTGTTTTTTAGAAAGAGAACAGTTTTTTCTTTTAAGAAGCTCCATTTCGATGCATTGGTTTATCATTGATGTAATTTATGGTTCACTTTTTGATGAAAAACTCATGCCCTTTCTTTTCTTTTCTTTTCTTCCGGAAATTCTCCAAATGAATGATTCTGCATATTCACCTCGTTTGTGAACTTATCCATTTCGCTGGACTAATCTTTCTTTTACTTTCTTGGTTGAACTGGACAAAAAATCTTGAGTTAGAAAGCATTATCACATAAAAAGGTAAAAGAATGTTGTTGTCCAAAATTTAACGTGAATAAAGAATTTGTGGAAACCTTTTATACTTCATTCATGTATAAAAACGTGATAAAAGAGAAGCATAATTAGAAAATTAAAGCCAATGGAATGTTTCCTTAAGAAAATCAATTCTTTTTTTTTTCCCCCTTTTTTTCCGAAGAGAAGAAGAAAAAGGACTTTTGGTGGGCTTTACAAGTCAACCAATACCATACCAGAGGAGACGACGATCTGAACAAAATAGTGGAAGCAACCTCGAAATTCAGCTCCAAAATTTCTCCTCTCATCTTTTCTGATTTGCGTTTTTACTCTTTCAGAACCCAATCCCGTTTTTCCCAGTATAACAACAAAAAAATCAATCTTTATTTTGTTACTTTTTTACTACCTAAAAATCATTGCTTTTTTGCTCCAAGGTTCCAATCTTTTGCCTTCAAATTTATTCTTAATTCGCCCTTAATCCAATCATAAAGTTGTAATCTTGATCTGGGTTTCGTATATTCTTAGCTCTGGAAAAAGTGGGAAGATATGGGAGGTTGTTTCAGCAAGAAAAAGTATCCTCCATCAGGCATCAATGGACATAGATCAGGCGGCTCCGCCACCAATACCGGCTCTACCGGCGGCGGCTACCAAGATAATTACCAAAAGCCCGCTGTTCATCAGTATACTCCTCCGCCGCCATCGTCCACCGTTCCTCCGAAGCCATCATCGCAGCCTCATACCCACCGGCCTAATCCGAATCCAGTGCCTGGGGCTGCAAATTCAAATGCTGCATTTAGTAACAATTACAGTAATACTATACTGGGGAAGCCATTTGAGGATGTGCGGGCCCACTACACACTCGGAAAAGAGCTTGGGAAAGGGCAATTTGGGGTGACTTATTTGTGCACTGAGAATTCAACTGGCCACAAATATGCCTGCAAGTCAATACTGAAGAGGAAGTTGGTGAGCAAGAACGATAAGGAGGATATGAAAAGGGAGATTCAGATAATGCAGCATTTGAGTGGCCAACCAAACATTGTAGAATTCAAAGGTGCTTATGAGGATAGGCAATCAGTTCACATTGTGATGGAGCTTTGTGCTGGTGGTGAGCTTTTTGACAGGATAGTTTCAAGGGGGCATTACTCTGAGAGGGATGCCGCTAATATTACTAGACAAGTTGTGAACGTCGTTCACATTTGTCACTTTATGGGGGTAATGCATAGGGATCTCAAGCCTGAGAATTTCTTGTTGGCTAGCAAGGATGAGAAGTCCATGCTCAAGGCCACGGATTTCGGGCTCTCAGTCTTTATTGAAGAAGGTTAGGCGATTTTGTGAATGTTTATTTGTTTTCATGTAGCATTAATTTGACTTTTAAGTTTTTACTCACGCATACGGATGAAACTGTTTGTATGTTATTACATTCATGCTCCTAGGCTGGAAATGCAGTGCAAATAATAAGTTGCAGAAAAAAAGTGTATGGAATGTACTTGGATAGGATATATACTTGAGAGCACCAAGTTTTATGTGTTTTGAGTAGCATAGAGATGAATTAAAAGTGGCTATGATTCGAGTGGGGCTGGTTGAAGGCTTGTCAATGTATTGTTGCTCCTACGTTGGGAATGTAGTACACCCTATGAGCTACAAGAAACTGAATACATCATTGCATCAAATGTACCGAAATAGGACTGGCGGTACTGTAATATACGAATATGTGTTTACAAAGCATCATGAACTGTTTGCTTTTCATTCTGTTGGCTATGAGATGAAGTTGATTGTGGTTTGTAATTGGTTGTTGCTCCTAAATTGGAAATGACAGTATGCATGAACTGCAAAATCTTAGTATAGTATATAGCCAACAGTATGATACATGGATTGGAAAAGCGTTCTTGACTGTATAGATTCTATTTTTTAAAATGTTTTTCTTTTAAGTTGGTTTTAGCTATGATAGTGATAGAACTGGTGTTATGTAGATAATGTACATTGTGATGGAATCGTGCTCTTGGATTGGAAATGTAGGGCAATGCTTGAGCTGAAATTCTGGAAATGTAATAGAATTCATGAATCATATGAGCATGAATGTAATAACATACAGTCTGAAAGAATTGGTTGTATGTTAATTAATAAAGGTATCGATTATTAAAATCTTGCTCCTCTTTTTCTACTAGACTATGTGTAGTACAGTTCATGAGCCCTAAAATTAATCAGAATTATCACTAGGAGGTTTTAGGAGTGAAGAATCTAACATTGAATGTAGCTAATGTTTTCCGGATTGCTGTATATTTTGGCAGTGGTGGTATCTGTTAATCGTCAAACTGCATACAAATTATATCGTTTCTGCAAAATAGTTGGATCCAACTCAAAAGTTATTTGGGGAAGTTTCAATGTTTCAACAGACCATGGGCGTTCGTATTGATAGAATTAATTAGTGTGCACATTGATTCAAGGTCTTGTTTTACAATCAAATAATGTTCCTGAAACTAATAGATGTGTTTAAGCCACCTGAAGAGCTCATGCTTGGGCAGGGTCCGCTGGGGGCTCTTTCTGCTGAACGAGGTCATGTTAAAGTTTAATCAATAGTAACTTTGGAGTTGATATTGCTCTTCTGGGTATAAGTACCGAGCCTTACATTAAAGGAAGTGACGTATTGTAGAAATAGTATATTACATTTTTGGTAATTGTTGTAGAATACCATCTGATAATAGTACTTACTTATGCTAAAGAATACCTGTTCTACAATTCAAATAGTTGATGGAGAGAATCCATAGAACTCCATTCATGCATTGAATTCTTTATAAATTATTTTCATTTTACCTACGAGTTAAGTGAAAGTGTCATGATACCTAAAGTGGAATAGAAGGAAATAATCTTTTGGCTTTCTGTTAACACTTCCACGTTCCCCTCTTTGGTCCTTAGGTGATAACTTAGTGTTCTCAACTAAATGAGGTACTAATATAATGATGTTTACATAATTTTTCGATTGATCTTCACAATTTAGTCTCCTACACATCTGCCACTGAAGTCAATCCTCCCTGATCACTTTGTTGTCTGTCAAGAGTGATCACAAAAGAAAAGACTTCCAGTTATGTACTTATGATCCATTTTCCTTAGACCCTTCGAAGGAATAATAACGGTATTTGTTTCCTGGGGTGTTTAGAAAATGAATTTAAAGAATCACGAGTTATCTTTTTTCTGCTTGCTTCTTTTTTCGTGGTTCGCCTTGATTTTTTCCAGTCGTTTGCAAGACGTTAATTTTGATTTTCGAATTCCCTCCGTTGATGAGAAAATAGAGTTTGGTATTCTACTCCTTGGCCTTCTTACATTTTAAGAAAATGCTGTTTGAGTTGCGTAAGTAAGTGCCGTTATGATTATCTACCACTTGTTCGTAAATTCCTCCTACTTCATTAAAATGGCACATATGGTTCTTTGTTTTCTTTGTAATATTTTCACTTTCGTTTTGCATATTATTAATTGGTTTTCAAGATATCTGATCCAAATCTCTTCTGCAACCTCAGGGAAGGTGTACCGTGATATTGTTGGTAGTGCGTACTATGTTGCCCCTGAAGTCCTGCGACGTAACTATGGAAAAGAAATAGATATTTGGAGTGCTGGTGTTATTTTATATATTCTACTTAGTGGTGTGCCTCCATTTTGGGCTGGTAAGGAAAGTTAATGTCATGCTTAATGTTTCTTACGACAATGATTTAGTGCATCCTATAATATCATCTTGAATGGCATTGTATGAACTTTATCTTATAGAAACCGAGAAAGGGATTTTTGATGCCATATTGCAAGGGGAAATTGACTTTGAAAGCCAGCCGTGGCCATCTATTTCAAACAGCGCTAAAGACTTAGTTCGTAAAATGCTAACAATGGATCCAAAGAAACGGATTACTTCTGCGCAAGTTCTGGGTAAGCTCTCTTTGGACTTTTAGCTCCTTATAAAATAGATAAATAACAATCTGTTAACATTTCTGTTATGGTTAAAAGAATTGTGTGCAGTGATGCCTGGTTGAATATTCTTGTTGTTGAGCCATTGATGCATTTTAATATCCACGAGTTACTTTTTTTCTTTGCAAGATGGGAAATATGGAACAACTAGAAATTCATGTTTCTATCTTTTGGTATCGCTTAAAAGTTCGTGGCAGTATGACAATTGATATTTCTGATAATCGAAAAGTTTAATGGTGCCATTTTGTACGAACAAGGAACTTGAAAGGATTCATAATAAGGCACCTTATTGTCAAGTTTTATTAGCAACCACCTTACCTGATTCAAAGTTAGACCTAAAAGAGAACTCTTTTTAGTTGAGTTCATTGAGAGGACCTTTAGTCTGGAAGCAGTGTTGTAGAAGGTTTGAACCTACTTTCCTGAATCTCATTTATCATTCAGATGCATTTTGGTTTTAATAAATTTGATTTTGGTTTTAATAATTCTTTTGCCTTTCTCTACTTATCTTATATTAAGTAAGACCAGTTATGCCACTTTTAGCATGCTGCAGATGCCTAAATTTGGTAATTTAATGTTTGTCCCTCCTTTTACTTTTTCCTTTGTTTCAGTTTCCTTTTCATTATTTTTTTCCCCATAAAAAGATAGGCCTCAAAAATCGATTGCAGCTTCATTGTGTATGCTGCAAATTCAGAAGCAACTTATTCTATTTTCTTCTTTAAACAGAGCATCCATGGATAAGGGAAGGTGGTAATGCATCTGATAAACCAATTGATAGTGCAGTGCTCTCCAGAATGAAACAATTCAGAGCAATGAACAAGCTCAAGAAACTTGCGTTGAAGGTAATTGACATTGTTTTTATCACTAATCATGACTTAGAAACTGTGATGTGATTATTATTGTGAATTTATAGGTTCAACTCTGTTAAATTGTAGACAATATAACAACCTTAAACAAGTTTCTGAACTCGTTTTCGTTTATGTGGTATACGGGTTTGTTTGATGCAGAAGATTCATATTTCTTTCATGAATATTTAGTTGAAATGGGGACCCTTTTGTTCATGAAAAGTGACAAATCGGTCCATAGGTTTGCCTGCATCAGTTTTCTAAATTTTGCTATAATGACACAACATCATCAGGTACATTTCTGCATTCATTTGCATTTGTATTGCACTGTAGGTCATTGCTGAAAATTTATCCGAAGAAGAAATCAAGGGTCTTAAGGCGATGTTTACAAACATTGATACTGACAAAAGTGGCACAATAACATATGAGGAGTTGAAGTCTGGACTGGCTCGGCTGGGTTCTAAATTAACTGAGAATGAAGTGAAACAACTGATGGAAGCAGTAAGTATAGCATCATCCCCAGTAAACTCCACTCGAGGTCGCTGACCTCCAGTCTTGGACCTCTTGGTATAAATCACGTGTTTCCTTTCCATGTTTCAGGCTGATGTGGATGGAAATGGAACGATTGATTATATTGAATTTATTACTGCTACAATGCACAGACACAGGCTCGAAAGAGATGAGCATTTGTTCAAGGCCTTTCAATATTTCGACAAGGATCATAGCGGGTTAGTCCATATATCGGTTACACCATTCCAGTTCCATTTGTCTTGAAGTTTCTTCTGATTTTTGGGATCAGTATGTAGCTTTTAAATATTGTTTTTGTGGTTATAACAGCTTCATTACGAGAGATGAACTTGAATCTGCTATGAAGGAGTACGGAATGGGTGATGAAGCCACTATAAAGGAAATAATTTCAGAGGTGGATACAGACAACGTAAGTTTTTTGAAGTTCTACTTTTGACGAAATCGAGATGAATTATTTGGGATTTGAGACTGATTATGTCCAACTCTTTCGATATATTTGTAGGATGGAAGAATCAATTATGAGGAATTTTGCGCGATGATGAGAAGTGGTACTACTCAACCACAGGGGAAACTTTTCTGAAACTGAGGGTGAAAAGGACCAATTGACTGTAGAGCCACGAAGAGATTAAGCTTTTTCCCTTGGTATTTCTTTACGATTTGTGTAATGATAGGATAAATATCGTTAATTTGAGGCATTTGATTTGGATTTTTCTTTTCAAGTGAATCTAAGTTTGTGTATAGTTGTCACTTGTCAGCTGAGTTCTAAAAAGGTTTATATTTTCCTTGCTTTCCTTCAACCCAGTGGATTCCATTTTACAGTTCCCATGTGTTGTTACTGTGAAATAGAAGCAGAATACAAATGTGGTCATGTTTATAATTTATAAGTGAAATTCCAACTTTTGAGAATAGTAACGACAAACTGGACTCCAATGGAACCTGATGTTGGTTTTCATTTTTGATCCCTTGAAATGCGTCCACTCAAAGATATGTTGGAATTTGGAAACAAGCCATCCACTGCCCCAAAAGCAAGCATAGGGAGGCCAAAGTATTGGATGATATGTATTTGAATTAGGGTTCTTACTGTTAAAACCTTTTCTTAGCAGAGCATCAAAGCAGAGAAATGAAGCATAACGCATTGATACGCAGAAAAAAACAAATTCTCTTGTTCAGAACGTGATCTAAATAAGAATATCTTAGAACCGATACACCACTGAAATAACATCCTGCATTCAAATTATTTCCCTTTAACTTCACACAGGACTGAAGAGTTTGTATTTGACAAGAAGTCCACTATACATCACACAGTATATACACTCTTAAGTGAAAGAAGTCCACTATTAAATACACTCAAATAAACAACAAACCGGCAAATTACAAAGTAGCAGAAGATAAGTTATCAAATTAGAGTCACATGGAGCTCCACTATACAGCTAACTTCTAGGGCAGGGGTATTAGTGATGAAGATGATGAGCAATAGGTTCCTAATAAAAGTTCCTGAATTGACTTCACCAGAAGTTCCTAAGGTGTAATGCACACAGCTTAATTTGTTAGACACCCCAGCATTGGCCATTTGATAAAATGCCAACACCACAAAGGCAAGAAATATCAGACTTGTAACCCTAATCAAAAGCTGTTCAAAAGTTGCAACAAAATCTGTTTATTAAAAAAGCATCATGAAAAAAAATTCTGCAAGTTTACATCTTGTAGTGAACTAACTAGACAGAAGCACAGCACCAAGTGAACTATACAATTTCCCGCAACAACAGCATTACTACAATGGTTAGAATCTACATATCCTACACAAGGGGAATCTACATATCCTACACAAAGTATGGCCATAATCTACAACAAGATAATACAAAAGGTGTATCAACACAGCAAACCCAACAAAAAGATAGGGATTGGGGTGATAATAATACAGCAAAAAGATACAAGTACAAAAATGTGAGGGAAGAAGATTGGCCGAATCCTCCGTGATGCTTTTGAATCCCAGGACATACATCACATTCATAAATGATAAAAACATTCTAAGTTTATCAATAACATCTCACTTCGGCACTACTCAAGCTAGCAACATTTAACATCCACAACTCTCCTGGCTATATATCCCGTTATACAATTAGCTAAAACATAGTTCAAAATAATAAGGCAACTACTTAGACGGAATGTTCACTAGCCACGAGTGACAGGAACTAAGAGAAGCAATGCTTGTATCAACCAACTCTCACAATAACTAGAAACCCCAAAAGGTCAACAAATCTGCAGGACTTCAAGGCTTCAGCTGAAAAGCTTCCTTCATTCTTACTTGGTACCCTTCAAAAATTATCAAATGGAGATGTCAGGCCGTATCATCAAGTTGGATTCTCATTATAATGATGCCAAACTCAAGAAAGCACAATTTGCTTCAGTACAACTTTTCAAGTAAGCATTGCATTTCCAAGGTTAACACATTTATGATAGATAAGTGTGCAAATGATTGCGATGTAAATAGAGCCCCAACACCATGAAAGAATAATATACAGAGAAGTTTTAAGCCAAAAGAAATAACGGTGTTCTGAGAAAAAATAAAATAAAAATGAAATAGTGCAAATCACCGTTTGTATACCCAAAAATATGTTAAAAATAAAATAGTGTAAATCACAATTCGTTTACCCAAAAAATAAGTGGTCTAAAATGTCTATTTTATAATTAAAACCGAGGAGGCTAAAACGCCTCCGATTACAACATTCTAATGGATGTTTTCCTAGCATAACCTGCCAAAACACCGTTTGTAAAAGAGTTGAATTAAACACATTTGGGTCTCACATGTCTTGGGTCAGTCAAAGAACCATAATACTGCATGAATTCTATCATAACATTGCTCATAAATTAACACCTTCAGAAAAAATAAACTAATCGCTTTCTGCTACAAGAAGGGAGAAGGTGCCCAAAACACTTACTTCTTTTAACATACAGAGAAGCCAACACTCCTCGACAAGGAGCAATAACAAGTTTGCATCATCTGTATTGTCAAAACAAATAGAGGAGTGCCACTCAGTGGTGAAGCCAGGTACCCAAAAGATATCTTAAGACCAGTCTCAGCGGCGCAAAACTTAACTTCAGGTGATATATTGTGAGAGCAAGCAATACAACTATAATCTAACATTATTCGGAGGTTAAGCGGCGCCTCTTCCCATATTCAGCATCCCTTGACCTCGATCTTTGCTCTTCATCGTGTGAAACTCGCGACTTACTGCTATGAGTTCTAGATGACCTACCTCTTTCCCATTCTTCATCATATCCTGACTCACGCTCCCTATACCTATGATGATCTGCATATCTATCTCTGTCATCCCTATGGCGATCCCGTTCACGGTCCCTATCACGGTGATCCCTATCCCGCGAACGTTCACGGTCTCGTGAGCGTTCGCGGTCCCTCTCCCTCTCCCTGTCTCTCTCCCCTCGGCCTACATCTCTTTCATCACGCTGCCTCCTTTCCGACCAATCAGTTTCATGACTGGCATCCTTTTCCCTATCATACCCTGGTTCTCTCTCTTCTCGATATCTCCTCTCTGAAGATTCAGACCAGGCTCTTTCTGAACCACCTCTATCCTTCTCCTTACTAGAGTTGGGCCAAGCCCCTACTCTATCATGGCTTTCTCCATACTGATGGTCCGAAACGGCATCTTCTCCATAGCTAGACTCCCCACCTCTTCCGCCACCATGCTCTTCACCGCCCCATCCACCTCCCATATTAGGATCACCCCACATTCCCATATTAGGTCCATCAACACCACCACCAGGAGGCATCATTCCCATACCATTCAAAGGCATTCCTCTCCCGAAGAATGCTGGATTGACATGTGGAGCCACACCAGACAAACCAACATTTGCAACAGGTGGAAATGATGGCAAAAGCCCAGAAAATGGTTGGGCAGGACCTCCAGGGAATCCCCCGTAATTTGCCATTCTTCCCATAGGCCCACCTCCAAAAGCAGGATCAAATCCCTGACCCATCATTTGAGGATGCAGTAGAGGACCAGGTGCGCCACCCATTCCTGGACCAAAACCATTTCCACCATTCCCCATCATCCCGCGGCCACCCATTCCACCCCTACCACCTCTCATTGGACCACCCATAGGGCCTCCCCTACCACCCATCCCTCCAGCGTTACCTCTGCCCCAATTACCTCTGCCAAAACCTCTATTATTCTCACCACCTTGGTAGTTACCGCCTGTTGCAATGTTGTTCCCAGTCGGTTTACCTGGCACTTCTCCTCCAGTCCCTCTCCTACCCTGATTAACTGTTGTTTGAGCAGACATTTGCTGATTCCTACTAACCTGAGCCTCACCCATTCTCTTGACGGTGTAGGGTGATGCAAAAGCAACCACACATGGTCTACCATTAAAGAGATGACCATTCATCCCTTCCTTGCATGCAGTTGCGGCCGCAGCATCATAAAACTCGACCTGGCAATATCCTTTTGATTTCCCACTAGCCTTCTCATCATAGAATTTAACCTCTTTTACAGGCCCATACTTGCTAGCTTCCATCTCAAGCTCTTCATCCGTAGTCCACCAATGCAAATCACCCACAAAAAGAATTGTGCCTTGTCCACCCCCACCAACAGCCCCACCGCCACCCATGTTTCCATAACTATTACCGCCAACAGTTCCATTCATATTCCCACCACCTCCCTGCTTGACCATACCACCCTCAGCTGCCCCTGCGTTTCCTACATTTCCCATGTTTCCGCCACCAGGTCCAGCAGAGCCACCACCACCACCACCAGCAGGAGGTAATGGCTGCGGAGGCTGTTGCTGGTGAGCAGCCACTTGATTAGGAGCACCACTGTTATTGTTAACAATCTGCCCTCCTTCAAAACCACCAGTAGCACCCTTATTGCCTGAAGGTGGGGGCCCTAACTCAACTCTCAGTCCTCCCCCACCACCACCTGGACCTCTAAAACCTATATTCTGCTGCTGCTGATAACCAGAAGGAGGAAGAGGCCTAGCACCACCAGCTCCTCCTCCCTCATCAAACTTCCTGTCTCCGCCACCGCCACCGCCACCACCAGCATCCATCATCCCCTGAGTTTGAGGCGCAGGAGGAGCTGGCGGAGTAGGTTGTGGAGGTATCAGTGCCTCCTCCTTGCGAACCCCAAAATCTTGATTTTGCCTAGTATTAGACTGATGATGAAAATGCTCCCCGACATTAACATCATTGTAAAGATCATCAAAGTCATCGTCCTCCTCTTCGGCTAGAAAAGCATCGTCAGTGACCGCCGAGATCGCTTCGTTCCTGTGAAACTGGTCGCCCGGATCTCCTCCGTAGCCACCGCCGCCAGCGTTCTCATCCATAATCTCCCCTCTCTTTCCCCCCACAAAAAACCTATAAAATTTGGGTTGCGAATCCTTACACACACATACAATTTTTTCCAAGCAATAAGAAAAACTCAGAAACAGATGCTTACATTACAACAGCAAGGAACTACATCAAAAACGAAAATACAAAGAACAAATAAAGGAGGAATTAAAGATTAATAATTCGATAAAGGGAGGTTTTGGGGAACTTACCAGAAGGATGATGGATGAACGAAAAAAAACCCTAATCTGAAAAAGATGGGATGCGACCCGGCTGTGTGTCTTGTTAAGAGAGAAATATAAATCCGATAAAAAGGTTAAGACGGAGGATAAATGCCACGTCGGCAAACCAAGTTCGAATTTTGGCAAATTCTGCTGCGCTTACTCTCGATCCGCTAGTTGGTTCTAGCACTTATGTTAACTAACTACTGTTCTTTTTTATTTTGGGGCTTTTTTGAGAGAGACCAAATTTGGAGTGGAAGGTCTGAAGTTCGGCTCCTCTGTTCCTTTTAGAAATTCCAATTTTTTTAGTGAGCAAATTAGGACCCAGACTCTTTTAGCATTATCTCGTTTTCTTTTTTTTTTTCCATACTTCATTTTTTAATTAAAAAAAAACAAACTCCCCTTAATTTGGTGTGTTTTATTTGTTTCTATGAAACCATTTATTGCCTCTATGAAAAGAGGTCAGTGGATAAGTTCTCGACATAAGCCCATGACCTAAAAAAGTATTCCCTCCTCTCATAATTATTGTCCAGTTTGAGTTTTTATTTTTAGTTAAAATTGTACTAAAAGTGAAATCTCAAACTGGACAATAATTTTAGGACAGAGGGAGTATTATATGCTAAAAGCCCATTCAAGATGAGGACTGTCACGGAGAGAGGCCGGAATTACAGAAAAGGAAAAAATTAGACGGAGATGGAAGGTTAGGATTCTGATTCGGGGAAGAACGAAGAAGATAGGGAAATTGGAAATTTCCAATTCAATGTTATAATTTCTGGTAATATACAGACCCAAAACCACTATATATATAGTCTACCTATTTCTTATAATCACACTTTGGTCCTTCTACTTTCTATTTCATAAAATCTAATCTCTAAATATCCAGGGACGTGACAAATCGCTCCCCTTAAAACAGTCTTGTCTTCAAGACTGTGTTTCAAAGGAAACTACCAACTACAACTCCAAATAGCTATCACAACTGACAATATAGCTAATAATGCTAATTACTAAAAAAGAAATGCAACTAACTATAAATGAAGCAAATATTACAGGAATAGAACAATGAGAGGTTGACTTCCATCTTCACAAGTGCTGCTCCAAATGTGTGCCAAGCAATCCTCCAGATGAAGTTCTTATCGATGCTTACTACCACTGTTGCGATTCTTCCTTCAAAAAGACTAGTCCCGCCTCTGAAACAAGTGACTTCTTTATCCCAAACACTCCCTAACATGTAATTCCCAAACTGATTAGGCATGTCCTCATCAACAGCTTGCAAATTGTCTTTGTTTCCACCAATAAACAGGTAACCACTGTAGAGGCTGTCTTTGATTCCACCAGGATCAAATACGCAGAAACCTAGATAACCATCCTTGATAGGGGAACATTGCACCTTCATCCTGCCCTCAACAGTACTATTCCCACCATCATTATCAACTGTTTGAACAAGATGCTCATAATCATCATTCTCAGTCAACTTTGCCTTAATTTCCACCAATGCGTTGAAGACAACCTCATCAACATGCCGACCGAATTCATCCACAAAACTCAAACATTGTTCAGTATTGGATGAACTCTTAGCACTGAAAATATGTATTAATCTACCAGGGTCAAATGGAAATAGGCAGCCAACATTGGTATCACTGAAAGAACTCAAAAACCAATATAAACTATAATCCACATAAGAACTCAAAAACCAATATAAACTATAATCCACATGTTTGCAGTTCAATACAACATCAATGAAAAGGATGGAATGCATCTCACTGTTTTTAAGTGTTACGCGAGATATTGGAGAGAGGATTTCAGTCCCACTTACTCCCTTCTTCGTTGCACCTGTTGCAGTCCAGACCTTGTCAAGCTCTTTTTTTATCATCATCAGTGAAGTACAACTCTCATCTAGTGGACTTTGAGCAGCCGTTTCCAAATATTCAATGATATAGTACCAAAACAACTTACTTCGACATACTTCGGTTTCTACGCTACAAATATTGTTACTAATACAGAACGAAGGAAAATCTTGCAGCAGAATATTTTGCCATACTTTATACCAGCTCCAAGTGCCACCTTTGAATAAAGTTGCCACTCTGTCCCAACTCTTAAGTAATGCTATTTCGATCCCCTTGCATTTCAGAATCTTTAAAGAATATAAGGAAATTTTGACACCCATTCCCTGCCGGTAAAAAGGACCCTTGTCCTCAAGATAGAGAGATGAGTCGAAATTCCCCATCCAATGCCAAAGAAACAGTGCAGAATCAATTTTAACCACAGAGATAAATATTTTAAAACCCGGAAGCTCGTTTCCAACCCCATTTTTAAACAGCACACTAGTTTCCAATAAGCAAGAGTCACTTTTACAGGAAACCATATTTCTTCTCTTAAAGTCAGAAGCATATTCATCATCATAAACAAACTCAACTAATTCAAGTATATGAGATACATCTTCAATAGCAAACCAAGCAATTTTCCAACAGTCCCTTGGAGGTGCACAAAAATTCTCTTTGACAAAATGAACACGAAATGAACTGTTCCCCCTCAGTTTAATTTTCAGAAGCTTATATAACATTGCAGCTGAGAAAGTAATAGCCAAGAAACTCCCTACTTCATCAAGCAATTTCGTAACTTCTGTGTTTTCAAAATTTCCATGACAACCACCTCTTTTCAAGATATCATCATTCCAATCAAAATTCCACCGAAGATAAAGGATAATTCCCTTCCCCTTAAAAACTTCCTTGTCCTCAAGGAAGTAAAATGAATAAAACAATGCCTTGGAAGTCTTGACTGAATTCAACATTTGCTTATCTTTGAAACAGGTTCCCCTTTTGAAACAGGTTCCCCTTTTGAAACATGTCACCCTCACAACCCACTGTTTTAGAGTTTCCCTAGTTTCACAGGCAGGAACAATATCCAAAGCAGCAAACAACTCAAGAAATTTCAGACTAAACAGAGACTCAACAATACAGTTTACAGATAAATTTAACACCCTACCATCTTCCACAACATTTCAAGAACTTTCCAACATTTAGTTGAAAAATCTCCCCTGTCTTATGAGAAGTGAAGAGTATGTTACCAGTTTATGAGGCCGGTGTTGCAGAGTGGTAAACCAGCTCCTAGTGGTCGTATGCAGAAAGTAAGGGGTTCACTTCAAAAACTTTAGACACGCAGGACTCCCATATTAAGTTTCTCGAGGAGGATTCCCAAAAACCAAACATTTTTAACTTAGAGTTGTCATCATGTTTAGCATTCACCCCTCTATTAGCAGCAAACTCAACATCCCAGAATGCGTTAATATCAAAATGATGTTCTAATCCACCAGGTTGAATAACAAATGAGCCCCTACCAGGGAACAATAATGTGAAATCATCAATTATACAATCAGCACTTAGAACACACATATACTCAGCATCATCAGGACACTTAACTCTTCCCGGATCAACAAGAAATGACAATTCATCAATTTGCAGCATCTCATCAGAAATCACACTAGGATTATCTTCTATTTTTATCTTAAAAGCCAACCAGGAATCAACTCTCACATAGTATCATCAATAATTTTGACTGAAACTTCATTTTTAGAAGGCCTAACATAGTAAAATACTTGCCAAACGAAGGACTTCCAACAACCAAATCAAACGCATCAGATATTCCAGGATCAACAGCAAAATTTGGAACCAAAATTAGTAGTGCATTCATCACTTCCATTTTCATCCACTACTTTAATAAACTCCTTATTTCGATTACTAATGTCCCCACAATGAACAACTGCACCAGTAGGGTTGGCCGGTTACGACTCCCAAATCTGAGCTCTAATTTTTCGGTGAACTCGTCCCAAGTAGACAATACAGAAGCTGAGAACAAGCCATATAGAAACCTTAAGGGTTCGCCGGCTAAGTAGAAATTTGCCGCGAATAATTTCATTTTTGGAGATATGAATTTATAATATAAGAATCGCTCCATCACTTCCAACCATTTAGTGACATCTTCACCGGAGAATATGGGAACTCCGGACGACGATGGCTTCGGGAGACCATACGGCGTCGGATCTGGTGGAAGGATTTCGGAGGTTGGAGGGTTTAATAGGGTTTCTACCTTATAAAATTCTGGGAGTATGAATTCCATCGAGTAAGGAATCGAACAGGAAAATAAAATTAGTGCGAATCGAAGAAGTCGTAGAACTTCGCACAGATTTCAGATTTTGAGGAAGGAAGAAATCAGATTTCAGATTTCAGAGCGTTAAGAAAAAAAGGGAAGAAGAGAGTGAACGGAGTGAATCCGATATAGAGATGGCCAAGAATCGGCTGGCTCTGATACCAAATATCACGTACGGGAGGCCGGAGGGTGGCCGGAATTACAAAAAAGGAGAAAATTGGACGGAGATGGAAGGTTAGGGTTCTGATTTGGGGGAAAATGAAGAAGATAGGGAAATTGAAAAATTCCAATTCAATGTTATAATTTCTGATAATTAATTTACAGACCTTTTCCCAAAAAAAATTAATTAAAATAAACGTGGACAAATTTAAATTTTTCAGAAAATTTGTGGACAGAACTATATTCCTCGGATTTCTGAAATCCGAGTTCTGATTAAAATTAAAGATTCGGATTTTGGAAATCCGATTTTATATTTAATAATAAAATAATAATTAAATAAATTTTGTTGAATAATAGTTTTTTAAAAATTCTTAAATGAACAATGCCGGTCGGATTTGCGAAATCTGACTTTAATTAAAAATTAATAAATCACGGCGCGAAATTTTTGAATCCAAAAACCGGAAGTCCGTAATCTGGTTTTATGAATTCGGATTTTGAAAATTCGGCTGCCCTTAATTTTGGTTGGTGGAAGTAGGCATGTGCCATAAATTGGAAGACCAAAAAATGAATAAAATAATCTTGAATTGACTAAATCCGGATTCATGAAATCTGAAACTAATGTAATTCGAATTTCGAAAATCCGAGTTACTTACGGACTCGGATTTCGTAAATCCGAGTTTAACGTGCTATAAAAAAAAAATTTCAGGCAGTTTTCATTCGAGAACTGAGTTGGATTTTATGTTTTTGCAGCTCAAACAAGGACGAATTGGAGCTTTTGATGCATTCTTGCCTCTAGATACGTGGGAATCGTTATTTGAAAGAGGTTAGATTGCAAAACCATGTTATTTAGTTTAGTTTTGTGTTATTTTGATTGTTAGAATGATGTATGATAGATTAGGGTTTATGTTGGTTGGTTGTTTGGATGTTTTAGGTGTTGATTTTGAGGTTAGAGATGAGAAATCATAATTGTTCATGAGATATCAAAGTTGATTTATAAGTATTTTAGTATTTTATAGGTTTTTTGAATTATGAATGAAGTATGGATGGTATACTTTGTTGATTTTGTTATTAAGAAATGATTAGTTATTGATATTTTTTTT